ATACCTTTTGTGGGTAGAGAGAAAGGTCACTCTGGGTTAGGGGACAAGCTCACCTAGAATGTAGGGACAGGAATAAGCAGAATTGCTTTTGGAAAGAAACTGAAGGGACAAAAAAGCTACGGATGTGAGGTTAGTAAACTGCATACCCAGCTTGTTGGGGGGGGGGCAAAGTGGACTCTCGTAATTAAATTATAAACCACCCAGAGAGAGCTTTAAATGCTATGGAGCAGTAGATAAGCAGCACAATTAAGTTTTTTTTTCTGTAGGTATTTTTCCCCACGCCCCCCCCTTTTTTAAAAGTGCAAGATATATTTGGAATTTTATACGGTAGTGCAGAACCTGTGTGGCTTTTCCAAAAGTTATTTGGAAGCGGGCAAGTTCAGAAGCGCTTTGAACTTCTTACTCAGATGTTCCTCAAACGCAAGCGTGTCGTCTGCCGCTCTGCCTTCCCACAGGATCCCTGCTGCTTCGGCACGGATGACACGTGGAGGGGTGATGGGCAAGGTTTTAAACATCAGCCTTTTTGATCATGCTCTGCTGAAGAGAAGACAGAGCATGCTTGAACTCAAAACTCCCACATAAACAAACCAGTCTAGACGCTTGTAAGGCCTTGGGTGCTTTCTGGAGGAGCTAACAATGCCCTCACCCTGGTTTGCAAGAAGGGTTGAGAAGACATTAAATTGCTTTTCTCAACATTTGATTTTCCTCTCTAAAAGAGGTCTGAGTGTTGCATGTTTTTCTCTACAGTAGGAATGGCAAGATTTCCCCCCTTTTCCTAGACTGCCTCCTGAAAGTAAAGTAACAGACATCATGGGAATGGAGATTCATCTTTCACCCAATGTTATCCACTACCATCCTCACCCAGACTTCTGCTCCCTTTCTCTGTATGAAGAAAGACACCAATTTTTATGCGTCTCTCTGTACAGATAATTCCATATTGCTTTTTACCCTCTTGTTGTTCCCCATGGGCTTGGACACTCACAGAGAATACATAAAGAAGTGCATAATTTAGACAGATCTGCGAAGATTTAGACAGATGTGCTTGAAACGATGGAAGCCATCATTTAAGAAGGACTGTAGCTTTACCTGCAGAACCATAGAATAGTTGAGTTGGAAGGGGCCTCTAAAGCCATTGAATCCAACTCCCTGCTCAATGCAGGGAACCCAGTCAAAGCAGATCTGACAGATGGTTGTCCAATTTTCTCTAGATTGAGATAATGTTAGCTCTCCTCCAATTATCTAGTCAAATCTTTCCATGCCAGCTATGAAAAAATAATAATAGTAGAAGGTCTAGGAAAGACTCCTCTCTGATTGATCCCTTGGTAAGGGGCTATCGCTTTAAGCAGGTAAGACTGATTAAATCAATGGTTCCCAACCTTGGGTCCCCAAATGGTCTTGGACTAAAACTCCCAGAAGCCTTCACCACTACCTGGGCTGGCCAGGATTTCTGGGCGTTGTAGTCCAGGAACATCTGGGGACCCAAGGTTGGGAAGCACCGGACTTTGTATTTTATGTATAAATTTTGCTAGTCCCTCTGGTTGGCCATGCCAGTTTATATCATTGGTGGTTTATTAGCAGCCAGAAATGGAGCTAAGGGGAGAGGGCAGTTGCAATTCATACCTGATTAGGCATCCTTCAGTCTCGAGAGACTATGGTAACGTGCTCTGAATAGAGGTATTGGAACAGCGTCTAGTGTGGCTGAGAAGGCCAATTTGAGAGTGATAATCCCTTCCACACTGAAGACAAATCCAATCTGTCCCCTGTCCAGCTCCCTGATTTGGCTGGTTTCCGGACTGCTTTTGTGCCTCGGCCTGCTGGACAAGGGTCTCTTCAAATTGGGAGAGGCCATGATGCCCTGCCTGCCTCCAGGCTCAATGGTCAGATGTCAAGGATTCCCATCTGTTGAGGTCTATTTCTAAGGCCTTCAGATCCCGCTTGCAGATATCCTTGTATTGCAGCTGTGGTCTCCGTCTGTAGTCATAGCATAGAAAACCTAAAGCCAGTTTTAACTCACCACAGCACAATTAGCTATTTACAAGCATGATTTCATGATCCATTCTCATGTTAATTTTCAGTTAATTATGTTTTAGATTGCTGTTGGAAAAAAAATCTAACAAATTATTCATGAGCCTATGCATTTGAGCAAACTTTGTTATTCTGAAGTGAGCCTTAACTGCAAACCAAGTGCAACTTGAAACAAGAGAACTTTGTAAGCAAAAGCATTTTGGCAAAGCTGTGCTTATGAATAAGTAGCTGACTTAACCACTGAAAGAATAAATTTAACTATCATAAATAAATAAAATTTTAAAGCATTACATAATGTGGGTTATCCACTAGCAGCGAATGCAGCAAGACAAATATTGACTTCCTGCCATGTTGTTATCTGAAAATCATTAGTGGGGTTATGTTATTCCCAATTCCCCATGTTCTTTTTTCTAATGTTATTAAATCCTTTAAAAAAAGATCCATTTACAATGTTCCTATAAATTCTATTATGAAAGATAGCTTCAAGGCTTGCAGATAGAAAACCAATGCAAATATAAACAGATTGATTTAGCTCCATGGCCACACTCCCACCCCTCCTGGTATCTCATAACTGCGGTGAACAGCAAAGGATGCTTATGCTACCCTTGGTTTTCTTCAGATATTCTTAATTAGGTATCAGGATGCCTTAACCCAGGTCTGACTCTGATGACAAAAGGGTGAATGGGTGGGACAGGCTTACCAGCAAGAGTGTTCCAAAGTAGATATATCGTTGCAGCTTCATGGCCCGGGAAGACATTTTTATTCCAAAGTAGATATATCGTTGCAGCTTCACGGCCCAGGAAGGCATTTTTGGAAGGCAATGAAAGGTCACAGAAATAAGCAAAAGGCTTGCTTCAAAGAAAGTAATGGGGCGACAGTCCTCCAGAGAGGAACCATTTGCTCTGTATCTCCAGCAAATTAGCATACAATTTTGCAAGGCATACTCAATGTATTTCTGCATTCCAAAAACACAGAGTAGTTGTGTTGGTTCCAGCCCTGAGTGTTTATAGTAAATAATCTCTCAGGACTTCTGATACTAGGCTCCTGATACAAGTCCTGAGAGAGGAAATCAGCTCCAGATCTAAACTTTTGAACCTCTCAGTCAGGACCCAGTTAACTGACTCTCAGGAGAAATTTTTATACACTTTCAACTTTGTGCTCCCCACCACCCTCAAAATGAATTTACATATTTATTTGACTTCATGTTTTATAGTATCCTATTTCTCTCCAGATATATAGTGATCCATCTCCAGTGATATAACCTTTACTGTTGAAATTCCATATTTCTTTAAAATCATTTGTATTCAATATTCCTTTTCTAATCTTGGTTTCACAGGTTAATTTATCATGTATAACTATATTCCACATTTCTTTATACCATTCTTCCATATAAAATTGATTACTATTCTTCCAATTCTTTGCAAATATCAACCTTACCACAGTTAGCATAATAATAATTAATTATTTTTCTTCCTCTTTTAGTTGATTATTATTAACCATATTCAAGAAAGCAATCATTGGAGACAATTGTACACCAATACCCATAATTTCTGTAATCTTTTTAAAAAGCATTGACCAATCTCTCTTCCTCATTGCACAAGTTCACTACATATGTAATGTCCTCTTTTCTTTTTTATATCTCCATCATAAAGATAAACATACACACACATGTTAACTTTAATATATGTATTATAAAGGTCAAGGAAGAAATTATTTAACAAGGGCTACAACACATAGCCCTTGGAAACCCAAAAACTGATCCTCTTGAAGGTCATGACCACCAGACTCAGAAGCACTGCTTTAGAGCAATACTGTATTCTCCTAATGTGTTGAAGGGGCGGAGGAACTAAAGACCAAATTGCTGACATGCACTGGATTATGGAGAAAGCCAGAGAGTTCCAGAAAAACATCTACTTCTGCTTCATTGACTATGCAAAAGCCTTTGACTGTGTGGACAACAACAAACTATGGCAAGTTCTTAAAGAAATGGTGCTTTTGCCTGGTCACAAGCTTTTGAATTGTGGTGCTGGAGGAGACTCTTGAGAGTCCCTTGGACTGCAAGGAAAACAAACCTATTCATTCTAAAGGAAATCAACCCTGAGTGCTCACTGGAAGGACAGATCCAGAAGCTGAGGCTCCAGTACTTTGGCCATCTCATGTGAAGACTCCCTAGAAAAGACCATGATGTTGGGAAAGTGTGAAGGCAAGAGGAGATGGGTACAACAGAGGATGAGATGGTTGGACAGTGTCATCGGAGCTAACAACATGAATTTGACCAAACTCCGGTAGGCAATGGAAGACAGGAGGGCCTGGCGTGCTCTGGTCCATGGGGTCACGAAGAGTTGGACACGACTCAACGACTAAACAACAACATAGTAATGTGTGGCCCCATCTTACCGGAGCAGTGAATCTGCTTAGGATTGTAATCTAACCTTTGCAAGGTTTTAGCCGTACAGTAGGACTCCCTTATCTGTGGAAACAGCATCCACTGATTCAATTATCCACAGTCTGAAAATATTAAATATATTAAAAGAAAAATCCTAGAAATAAATATTTCTAATGATGGAGTTACCAGAACTGGCGACTCGTGGGAGCTAGAGACCATGCTATGTATAGCATTCGTATTTAAAAGTGTTTGCTCTAATTTGAATTTTTCAGCGTTTGTGGGGGAGGGGAGGCTTGGAACCAATTTCCCTTTGCTGTATTTCCACAATCCTTTCACTCCCTTGGATTGTTCCTTAAGAAAAAAAAAGCAGAGGAGATTGATCGCTCCTGTAAATTGGAATTAACCAGCCTGTAGTGGTCAAATTCACAGAAAAGATCAATAAGCTCGTATTTACATCAGCAAAACTTTTATCATTGGTCAGAGCTTTTCTAAGTTCCGAATGATTCAGGTACCCCGAAGGGAAGGTGTCTAGAGCAGAAGGCAATGTAAGAGTCAAGTTTTCATGGAAATGTTCTCATTGTTTTCTCAGGGAAAGGGGATGTGTTCGGTGACATCTTCTGGAAGGAGACGACTCTGGCCCACGCCTGTGCTAACGTTCGAGCACTCACCTACTGCGATTTGCACATTATCAAGCGGGAGGCCTTGCTGAAAGTTCTGGATTTTTATACTGCTTTTGCAAACTCCTTCTCAAGGAACTTGACGCTGACGTGCAACCTGAGGAAACGGGTAAGGACGAATTTCTTTAGTCAAATGAGAACAGATCCGGCATTGATTTGTGATTTGTAATTCAGTGTGTTCTTCCTCAAGCCGCTATAAGAAAGCCGTCAGAAGCGCCCAACCATTATTCCCTTCGAGTGCAGAATTTGGCATTAGTTGAGAATTTCAGTTTGTTTCTCTTCCCCACCACCGCCACTTCTCCTTCATCTTTGCCTTTAAAAGCAAGCTTTTGGGTTGATCCTCGGCTAGGGACGAGGGAGAGCCTCCACTGATTGTTTTGAATCTTGCACGCTAAAAGATGTAAGTTTGAGGATGGTCTGCGCAGACCTTGAGGCAGGAAAGAAATGACCTAACAATAAGAGCTCAAATTTGACAAGGGAGCCCAGCAATTGGCCGCATTGTTGGCTGGCCTTCCTGCCCCTCCCTGCAAAATTTCGCTGAATTTAGATTTTGTTGTTGATTTCCCCAGCATTTCTATATTTTTGGGGAAACTTCTTTTTTTTAATTACTCAAAGGGAAATGTGTATGGCTCGTTTTGCCCTAGAAGAGGGTCATGGGTGTGTTTTACCTGTGTGACTATTGCCATAATATTATAATCGTCGCAGTGTTTATCCAACTTGATAGGTCTGCTGTTCTGTGATCCTATGAAATGGCTTTCATTGCATGATAACGGATAAATTCTATCAATGAACAGGCAGATTCAGGACTTGGTGTGGTTGGGAGCCTATAAGGAACAGATGAGAGCATTCTTCTGAGCCTGTAAGGGCCTTGGACAATAGATTTTTTTTAGGCTGCATGCTTCTAGTTGTGCTTTGTATTTTGTCCAGTGCTGCCATTTTGGGTTCGTAGGAGTGTTGCCCTCCTTTTATATTTTTATATGATGCTACTTTATGGGCTGGGTAGGGGATAGTTGTCTTTTCTATTTATTCACTGTTGGAAACCACCCAGAGTAGTAGTTGGCCACTAGATGGCATGGTTTTGGAATGAATGAATGAATGAATGAATGAATGAATGAATGAATTAATTAATTAATTAATTAATTACTTTTGGCTGCAATTGAAGTATCTGTGCAAATGTGTTTGAATATTCATACCCGGTTGCCTTGTGAGCTTAGAATAATGATCTCAAACAAAGGCTAAAATCCTGTTGTGCAGCTACACCTAACTTGAAATTGTGCAAGCATTTGTAAAATGTTTACCCAGGTAGAAGTCATGCAGCTATACAACCAGGTGTGCAATCAGTTGCTCAGTTAGTTGTGCACAGGGACGTAATTCCCTGTGAACCTCTGCAGGCATAACATTAAATGATGCCAAGTGCAGGAGAATTTCAGTTGTTGTAGGGCTGCTCCTAAAATCAGATAACAGAGAGGGTCCAAAATAAGATATTCCTGTTTATTTCATACTCGAGCAGCAAGTCTTCCTATCAGTTAACACCGTGGGAGATAATAAAAATATTAGCTAGCAAAAATATACCTTGAAGATTAGGTTGGGAGGAGACACTTTAATTTCAATACCACTGGGGAAAAAACATATTCTTTTTATTACAGTGTTTAAAGAACCAGATTAATGAAGGTCATATTCTTGTCTACATGAGCAAATTCCTTAAGTGTGATGAATGGGTTTATGGAGCATTAACTCCAAGATTTTTATGGCTGGGATGCCTTCCTTTTTTCTATAGCCTTACTTTATCATTCAGCAGATAAAAAGTTCAAAGGTACAAAAATATCTTAAAATACTATAATAATCTGTAATAAATTTCAGCATTGCTAGGCATTGAGAAAGTCCCTAGATTTCAGGCTGTACAGTGCAAGGTGTAAGAGATGTACCATCCATCACTCTAACTCCCACTTAAGACTGCCATCCTATGCATAACATTTTGGGTTGGGTCATATCTTTATTGGATCACTAAAGGTAACAAAAAGGAAGTAGCTCCCTTATAGTAGTCATAAGCATACTGGGATTATTCTCCAGATGAAGTGAGGTTCCACCAGATGTTGTGTCAAATTGCAGCTAAATAACTAGATGCCGTTGATGAGTGACTGTGTGACTGTCACACAGCTGGGCATGTGACCAGGCATGCAAGCAGCACTTTGGCAATTACTTACAATTTGCTGCAATGTGATTTTACTCACTCCAGAGTAAAAATCCTGGTACAGTGCTGGCTACCGAGTCAGACTACTGGTCTCTCTAGCCCTGTTGTGTCAAAACCAACTGTAAGCATACACCCAGAGTTTCCGATTAGATCCTTCCTTACTTCTATGTAGATATCCCTGATGGTTTTCCACCCTAGTACTGTACTAACCAAGCCTGTTCACTCTTCAAAATCATCTGAGATCAGATGCATTACAGCAAGCATGATGATCTTCCATGTTCTCTAGAACTTTTCTTCAGGGTTAGATAGAACAGATTTGGTGGTGGTGGTAGGGAACTAGGGAGAAAGTAAATAAGTTAGATACTGCATATTCAGTAAAGAACAAAGAGGCCATGGTATTTGAGCATAATCTCTCCTGCCTTTGTAGTCCACTTTCTCTGCTACTCCAAGTCCTGTGCAGTCTTTCTCCCGTGCTGGATGCCATAGTTCTGAGAGGTCTTCCAGATTCATTCAGCTATAATCAGGATCCACCAGGCTTCTTCAGTTGACAACATTGCTTTTCTTGGTGGAAATGAGACCAGAAGGTCCATCTGTTTCTTTTTCTCTGCCCAGTTGCTAATCACAGATCCTGTGTGGGCTGATAAGCAATTTAAGCCCAAGCCAACCCAACATGCTTCCCAGTCTTTATTTGGCAATGATAGTTGGCCCATTTCCCCAACTGTTCTCCCGACTAGGAAGGTCTCAAAACATTGTGTAACAGAATGCTTGGATGCTCAGACTCTAAAGCTTTAGATGCATTGTTATGCATTGCTGCCCTGACTGAGTGTTTACCATCTCCCAGACTGGTATTTGTTTGTTGGATGCTCAGACTCTAAAGCTTTAGATGTATTGTTATGCATTGCTGCTCTGAGTCTTTAGACCACTTGTGTTTACCATCTCCCAGACTGGTATTTGTTTGTTCCTTTTTAGAATTTGCATACTTGTTTTAGCTTTCAGTATTATCTTTTAATGATGGAAACTACTGTTGTATACTGATTGTCTTCAGCTTTAAATATTGTCTTTCAAGGATGTAAGCCATCTTGGATCCTTTTTAAGGAGAAAGGCAGAGCATATACAGTGGTGCCTCGCATTGTGACATTAATTCGTTCCGCAAAAATCGCTGCAGAACAAAAACGTCACAATGCAAAATAAAAAAGCCCATAGAAACGCATTGGAAACCCCTTCAGTGCGTTCCTATGGGCTGGAAACTCACCGTTCAGCAAAGATCCTCCATAACGTGGCCATTTTCGGTGCCTCTGAAGCAAGGAATCTGTCCCAGAAAACAGCAAGCGGCCATTTTGTTTACCCGGTGGCCATTTTGAAACCGCCGATCAGCTGTTTTAAAATCATCACTTTGCGATGCTCGGTTCCCGAAGCAGGGAACCGATCACCGCAAAGCGAAATTCCCCCATAGGGAACATCGCAAAGCAATCACTTTTACGATCGCAAAAAATGTGTCGCAAGGCGATTTCATTGCTAAATGGAGCAATCGCTATGCGAGGCACTAATGTAAATAAATAAATCAAGCAAGCAAGCTGTTGCTGTGCATGATAGCTAAAGCATGCCCTTCATAGAATCTTTTGTCAAGTACCATCTTAATTTCAAACTGAATAAATGGAATCCTTTCCATCCATTCTGCATCTTTCTGAATTTGGCCTTTTAGAAAGCCATGAGGGCTGCTCATCTGGAGCAGCAATATAGCAGCTTGAGTTCAAGATGACAGCATGGAGAAGATGACCTGGATCCAATTGCTAATCCCAACTAGAGTAGACCCGTTGAATCAACGGGGTTTACATAAAGGTTGATGTTGGTGTGGGATGTTTGGTTGCTTCTGACTTAACAGCGATGAATTAATGATCTCCAAAAGATCATCTCATTAAAGCCTGGCTTGGTTCTTGCAAATGAAAGGCTTTGGCTTCCTTTGTGGAATCAATCCACCTCAGCTTAGATCTTCCTCTTATCTTCCGTGTTTCTTATCATGACAGCCTTATTTATGCACTGAGCTTTGGGTATTTTTACGATGGCCTGAATCCAGCTGCTACAACTTAAGAAGTCAGAATGAGTGCCAAGAGCAAACGCCCATCTTCTTAACTTGTAGCAACTCACCACTGAGATTTATACTGATGGATTTAGCCCAGCAGGCACAAGTAACAGGGTTCTTCTGAGGTGTCCAACATTCAGTGACCTCCACTTAGTCGTTTTCAGCTCTGACTTTTCAGCAATTGTTTAAATGGGCCAACTTCAGTTGCATCTAGAGGTGTGAAGATCTGTGTTTTTGCACTACATTTCCCAGAATCTCCCAGGCAGCTAGGAGAGTTCTGGGCGCTGCGACCCAAAAGCACAAATCCGCACTCATCTAGTTGCAGCTCACAACTGGATATAGACCAATTTTGCTAATGGATGGCAGATGTTTTATTTTTGCACCTCCCTGAAAATGAGAGTTGATTGTGTATGACTGATAAGGCAACTTGTTCTTCTTTTACCATTTAGGGGAAATATTCTTTTGCTTTTCTTTATATCTACATTTAAAGGATGTGGCATTTTTTTAAAAAAAAGTCTTTTAAGACTGATAAGGCAACTTGTTCTTCTTTTACCATTTAGGGGAAATATTCTTTTGCTTTTCTTTATGTCCAAATTTTAAGGATGTGACATTTTTTTTAAAAAAAAAGTATTTTATGACCATGAGTTTTGAAGATATACAATTATTTTCTTCAGGTGTCAGGAAACCCTTTTCTATTGTAAAATGGCTAACTTAAGAGACAAAAGTCATCCTATTGGTTAGAACTCACATCATATTTTCTTTTTAGGATTTTCTTCTGACATGGATGCCTATCCCTTTCTTACCCACCAAGATCTTTAAAGTCATGTTGTCTTTCTTT